CTTGACGACTTGCGCGAGCCGTCCGCCGCGAGGTGCCTCACCTGGAACATGTTCGTTTGCGGAGTGGTCCCTGGATTCCTTTAAGAGGGAAACAAGAGTTTGGACGCCCGAAATGGGTACGGAAAGAATGGGCACTATGCCCAACAGCAAATGCTGTCCCAAGCCAACAGCGGCCGCTGTTGGGCAGGCGGCCTTCTGTCTCGAATGGACACAGGCCGCGGCGGCGTGGACAGCGAATCCTGTTCAAAATGAACAGGAACTGCTGTTGGGCATAGTACCCATTCTTTCCGTACTCCTTTCGTTCGTGCCGAACCTTGGGAGGAGGAGGGGGAGGAGGAGGGGGAGGAGGAGGGGGAGGAGGAGGAGGAGGAGGAGGAGGAGGGGGAGGAGGAGGAGGAGGAGGAGGAGGAGGAGGAGGAAGGCAGGGCAGAAAGAGCATTAGGAAAACATAGGCTTTCAGAGGCCCGCGCGGATCTCTCAGAATCGGCGCCGGACCCCCCCCCTCACGGGCGAGCGGAGGCACGCCGAGAGCGGCGTGCAGAGGCGCGTTGCCAGGGGGGGGGGTCCAGTGCGGACCCCAAGAGACCTGCGAGGACCTCGTAGGTGTGTTCTTGAAGGGGCCCCAGGACACACAAGTAAATACACACAAATAGAAATACCCCATATTTTCCCATATTTTCTGGGTTTCTCTCTTCCCCCCCACTTCCCATATTTTCCCATATTTTCCGGGGAATCGTCGATTAATTGTGTCTGTGTGTTTCTTTCCCTCCTGAGTTCTGCTCTGCTCGGCGGCGAGCGAGGGGGGGGAAGCGAGAAGGAGAAGGCCGTCTCAGAAGGTTCGGAAGTCCCCTGGCCTTCTGGGGAGTCTCCTGAGCCGTTCCCCGAGGACACAGAGCGAGACCTCTCAGAAGGCGCGGGGGCTTCTGGGGAGTCCCGCCGCCTCCCGAGAGGCCCCTCTCCCCATCACCTCCCCCCCTCGCTCGCCGCCGATCTTCGAGCTCCTGAGCTGCACCAGGAACGTCGACGGGGAGTAGGCGGGGACGGTCTCCTGCTCGAGGGTCCACGTGATGGTGTTCGCGGCGCATACGGGCACCGTGAGGGCCAGAGAGCCGCTCAGGTGCGCGTACTGCGGGCAGATGGCGTCGCCGATCGTGCCGAAGTAGAAGCTCACGGGAGCCACGACCCGCACCGACTCGCCGAAGTCTACGACGCTCGGGAACGAGATGCTGAAGGTCACCACCTCCGGGGGCCGTCGGCTGACCACGAGTCCCAGCGGGGCCCATCCCGGGCCCGGGGTCTGCGTCTGCGCCATGCTGGCCAGGGAGGCGCAGACGCCGATCCTGGGCCCAGGATCGGCCTCGCCGGGATCGGCGAGGGGGTCCATTGGCGTCCTCCGGCGCCTGTACTGCGTGAGCGTTCGTGGAGCTGGGGGACACGTAGTCGAACGCGTGGACGGCGGCGTTGATCGTGAACCCCGGGAAGCTGGCGGAGTCGATGAGGCTGTTCGTCGTGGTGTCCTCGCAGGAGTTTCTTTGTGTTTATTGTTTGTGGAGTTGTTCGTTTTATTTGAAAAAATATGTTATGTTGTGGTGTCCTCGTAAGAATATAGACTCCAGTACTCGGGCACGTCAGCGGTGGTCTGGGGATTCTGAACAGTAAGCGTGACGTGGTACATCAAACCGCCTTTGAGATACTTCCCGCTCGCCACATCGGTCACGAAGACGAGCTTCGCGCGTGAGGAGGGCGTGCTGTCGCCCTGGCAGAGTACGTCGCCATCCCGGAACTCAGAATATTTCAAGGCCAGCACCTGGTTGACCTCCGACTCCATCACCGGCATGTCCGCCGCATCAAGCTCGACGCCCACGTCGCACACTGTCGGGATCGCGAAGCTGCTCGGCGCGAGGACCCGCATGTGTCCACCGTTGGGAAGGCTATTAACAGGCCGGAAAGTGATGGTGACCGTGTTCATGATAGTGAGAGCCTGTGTGGATGCTGCAGTGGTCGACTGCACAATTGAGACATCTTTGAAGGACCATATGTCGACGCCGTCGAACGGCACGGAGGACTCGGCGCTGAACTCGGTCGAAGTCGCAGAATTGACTTCCAATACGAACTTGTTATAGCTCGGGGTGGAGGTCGGGTTCGCTACGACGCCCAAGCGAAACACGTAAGGCAATGGGTTCGGATTATCCGTGGTCACTTCGCCTGACTCGAGTCCATAAGCGATGATGATCCTGGCCACGTTCGCGTCGCCACTGCACGAGGCAACGGAAGCAGTAGCTGGCCAAATGGCGAAGCGCGACTCGAAGGTGTTCTCATCCTCCGTGTATCCCAAGTTCTCGGTGTCGGACACAGAATCTTGGCCCAGATCGGTGGTCGCGCTGTCGTCGAAGATACGGGTGGAGTCGACAACCACATCGCATTCGATGTCGAATTCATAGCCTTCTGGCGCGCGGACAACGATCTCGGACGTGGTGCCGACGGGTGTGCTTGACAGCTTGAAGGCGATGATGAGCTGCGAGGGCACGCCAGGGCGGTCGTCCCGGTACCCCTGGGGTGAGTAGAACTGCCAGTACTCGAAGTCGCAAGTGCTGACAGGACGCTGAGAGTCGATGGCTTGCTCCGCCTGGGTGAGGAAAATGCATGGCTGGTTTTCTAACTCCTGAGCCCTCGTGTGCATGATCAAGTCGGCATAAAGCATCGTATCCCCGATGGGGAAACTGGCAATAGTGGTGTCGTAATCCAGCAAGGTTCCTTCGCTCACCAAACTATACGTCTGGATCACCCACTCGCCGGCTTCGTCCTGTGACCTGACGATTGGCGGGTTGGTCGCATCCAAAGAAAATCGATAGTACCCAGGGGGAATTCCCGACGCGCCCGCGACGATCGACACTTTCGGCTGGCCCGTAGACACAATCTCCGTGAAGAGACACGTGGAGTCGTACGGCATCTCAGGGAATCCCTCGGCTGGTTTCGGCGAGCACAGGGGGTACTCGAATTTGAAGTTCGGGGGGCCTACGATCACGATGCCGCCACCCACTGGGATGCTGGTGATAGTCTGCACGCTGAAGGTGATAGTCGTGTTGGCACTCGTAATACTTGTAGTGAAGGAAACCCCGCCGTTGATCAGGGTCTGAATCTGTGGGCCCTCGGTGACGCCCGCCTCCAGCCTGTTGGCGTCGTAGGTCTCGTCGAACCCGAACTCGATGCAGAAGTAGTTTGCAGAGCCCGTCGGCGGGTAGCGAGGAAGCCGAATCTTGGCGGCAAACCCGTATTTCACCCCCGGCGTCCAGGCGGTCTGGATGGAGTCCAGGGTGATGCGGTTGAAAGGCGCGGTCTGTGGCGCGTTCGGTCCATAATTGATGGGGAGGTCGGCCTCTGCGCCCTCGACGACCAGGTTGCTTGCCACGCCAAAGCCGGCGGCCTTGTACTTGAACTCGTCCTGCTGATGGCCCACTGGCGCACGCGCACAAACGCGCGCTTAGGCGCGAGAACATAAGCACATGCGCACACTCGCACGCACACACACGAGCGCAAACACATACGCGCATGTACGCACATTGGCACTCGCCCGCAAACACCCTCGCGCGAACACACACGTGCAAGCGCGCACGTACACACGCACCCAAAAAAAACAGTGCTGCCGACCGAAGCCGCAAGGCGACCTCGAGAAAAACCAAGATCGCCTAAAGAAGGCCCCAAGCACCCAAGTCCCTCTGGATTTAGGGGGCTCGGGGCTTCTTTTTCAAACCCCAGTGGAGGAGCTTAACTTCTCTGCTCCTCATGACGAATCACCAGCCGCCAACACGGTACCATACCACCCCCCACACCCCTGTCATTTAAAAAATACAATGCAACTAATCCTGGCGAAGGGCCCAACCATATGCAGTTGTGAATACCGTCGTTGCGGATATCGCCTTCGAGGGATCTCCTCATGGGGCCTTGAGCGTGCGAAGGGTGTACTGAGGACACGAAACGCTGTACTAGGCGGGGGAACCGCATGCAAGTGCAGCCACTGGGGCCTTCGGTGGAGCTCCCTGTGGGGCCACGAAACGCTGTACTGTGTGGAGGAAGCGAATGCAAGTGCAGCCACTGGGGCCTTCGGTGGAGTTCCCTATGGGGGCACGAAATGCTGTACTGGGTGGGGGAACCGCATGCGAGTGCAGCCACTGGGGCCTTCGGTGGAGCACCCTATGGGGCCACGAAACGCTGTATGGGGCGGGAGAACCGCATGCGAGTGCAGCCACTGGGGCCTTCGGTGGAGCTCCCTATGGGGCCACGAAACGCTGTACTGTGTGGGGGAGCCGCATACGAGTGCAACCACTGGGGCCTTCGGTGGAGCTCCCTTTGGGGCCACGAAACGCTGTACTTGGTGGGGGAACTGCATGCGAGCGCAACCATTGGGGGCCTTCGGTGGAGTTCCTTTGGGGTCACGAAACGAGGGAACAGCATGGGAGTGCAGCCGCTGGGGCCTTCGGTGGAGTTCCCTATGAGGCCACGAAATGCTGTACTGAGCGGGGGCTCCACATGCGAGTGCAGCCACCGGTCCATATGGGGCCACGAAACGCGGTACTGGGCGGGGGAACCGCATGCGAGAGCAGGCACTGAAGCCTTCGGTGGGGCTCCTTACAGGGCATCGAAACGCAGTACTGGGTGGGGGAGACGCATACTGATGAGGGCAGAGGCAAAGAGGGCGAGGACGGAGGAGGGAGGAGGGGGGAGGGAGTAGGGGAGAAGGAGACGCTGGGCGCTGTCTCTTCACAACGAGGACCCAACACCACAGGATGGTTGTGAACAATACAGAATGCACTTTGCACCAAAATCTGGATCATGCGCGGACGCCCCGCGATCACGCTGCTACTACTACTACCACTACTACTACTACTACTACTACTACTACTACTACTACTACTACTACTACTACTACACCACCACCACCACCACCACCACCACCACCACCACCACCACCACCACCACCACCACCACTACTACTACTACTACTACTACTACTACTACTACTACTACTGCTACTACTAAAAATAATAATCCTACGACTACTACTAATACTACTACTACTACTACTACTACCACCACCACCACCACCACACCACCACCACCCTACTACCACCACTAGCT